ACTTCTCTTAGAACAGAATCTAAAATGCGCCTGGCCATCCCAATTAACCTCTCCCAAGCTCCCCCTATATGTGAGGCATGGGGAGGATTAAAAATCCACTCGCATCCACGTACTAACAGGTATCGTTTCACACAATCCTTGTCAACAAGTTGGTGTCCAAGCTCGTTGCATGCTCCTACAAAATTTGTGCCACAGTCCGAACGAATCCGCTTGGCTGGGCCTCTGATCGCAAAAAACCTTCTAAGGGCATTAATAAAACATGAGCTGTCCATAGACTCCAATATTTCCACGTGAATACCTCTCGTAACCATGCAAGTAAACAGGACAGCCAACCTCTTAGCTTGAACTGCGCTTCGAGTTTTGGAACTACGTATCAACCACAGTCCAAACACATCAGCTCCCACAAAGGTGAATGGTGGTGCTTCGGGTAAGTCTGCCATAATCTGTTCTTGTACCTTTCCTCGAAGCATTTTGCACACCACACAGTCTTTAATGACTTTCGATACTTGCCGTTGGCCACCCAGTATCCAATAACCTTCATTCCGTAAGGTTCCTAGAGAGATGTGCCTTCCTTAGTGGTTGCATTTTTGGTGGTAGTGTCTAATGAGAAGAGTCGATACATGACAATTTTTCGGTAATATGGCTGGATGTGCAGCTTTTTCTGGCAGTTGCGAATAGCTCAGCCTACCGCCAATAATTCCTCTGTTATCAATGTACGGGTTCCATTTTATGAGCTTGTTGCTCTTTGTTAGCTTTCCACTTCTCACCTCCGACATCTCTGCAGCGAAGGTCTCACCCTGGACACTCTTAATAATCATATTCTCTGCTTCAAATCTCTCATCTACTGATTTTGGTGTCTGCCATACATGCCAACCTGTACACCCACATTCAAGTTCGTTGTTGCGTGTAAATGAACGAGCAATATTTTAAAGATTTGTAACAGCTCGAACTGCTGATTCCCAGCTGGAAAATCGGCTGAATCTTTCAACTCCAATGCATGTCTGGTTCAAGACAACCTTGTTACAGGCGATGGTACTTGGACGCACCTCTGGATCATTAGGTAGGAGCTCTACATTTCTTTCTATATGGTTCTGGTCAGTTGACAGATATCTTTGTTTCAGGAATTCTGGCCCAGACATCCACAATGAATCATTTAACTCAGTAGCTGGGATAGATCTAGTTGCTTGGTCAGCTGGGTTTTTCTCAGTTGGAACATACATCCACTGGTCAGGTTTTGAAGTTCTATGTATCATGCTGACCCGGTTGCACACATAGGTGTGGAAACGACGTTTCCGGTTGGTCATCTCTTATCGTCATCATTAAGGCTATTTCAACAACTTTTCTGACTCTCAGTATGTACCATTGACTAACTTCTGTAACATTTTTAAAA